GGGGGGGGAGAGAGAGCGCGAGAGAGAGCACGTCTCCGGAAATCACGATGCGCCTCACCTGATAAGGACTGTTCGGTAGGGCGATGTTGCCGGAATTGTGCTCGTTCTGCACTACGCCGTGATGAACGTCGACCTCGGGACCAGCGCCTGCCTCGCGCGACCTGTCTTTCGGCGCGTTCGTCTTCTTCTTCGATAGAATTGTCATGATCTCGCGCGATCAATTTCCCTCTCTCTCCTTCGCGACTCGCGACTCGCGAGTCTCAGCTCCCAGCTCGCGGATCCCCTCTGTGCGATCGCACCGAACTCGCCTTGCGATTGCGGATTGCGAACTGCGAACTGCGAACAATGCGAACACGTCGCGAAGCGATCCGCCCCTTCGCGATTTGATTTAATATGATTTTTCACGAGCGATCTGGCGAATCGAGAATCGAGTTTCGCGATCGCGGGCTCTCTCTCTCTCCGAGTCGGCTCCGTCGACTCGTCGTTGGCCGTTGGCTGTTGGCTGTTGGTCGTTGGTCGTCGATCGTCGATCGTCGATCGTCGATCGTCGATCGTTGATCGTTGATCGTTGATCGTTGCGTCACGCGTCACGCGTCACGTTACTTTACACGCAAGAAACTCGAGCGGTCAGGATGACGTCGTTCCGTCCTCCGTCGTTCCGCGGCCGCGGCCACCGTGCAACATGTCCGCGAGCGAAAGCGATACGGTGTCGTTTAATCGCTGCTGCTCCGAATGTTTTGTCAAGCGGCCATATTTACATTCGTTGCTCCTCGCTCGTCGCTCATCGCTTTGGCTTCGGAGAATGCAAAGTCCATAGATCGAATGGAGGATTTCATTTCATAGTAACGCGACTCTTCGTTTCATCACGATCTTGGCTATTATGTAATATTGATCAAACTGGATTTTCGGACATTGGTCAAACTTGAAACGCTTTAAGAACACACGTACCATATGTTCCTTCGGATTTTTTGATGCGTTTCGTTTGACGCTACGAAAGTTTCGAAGCGTTCGATTGACAAGGAAATCTCTTTGGTCTTTGGTCTATTCTAGCTGTCAAACGACAAACAACTCTGACATATATATTGTCTGATTACAACGAAAAAGAGGAAAAGAGTGTGTAACGAACGAGTTGAAGAAAATGCTTCGCGGATACGAGGGTGTGAGATATGTTTCGGATAAGCAGATGATAGTTTTTGATATCGGCAGTGCGTACACGAAGTGAGTATCGCGAGAAGAAGAAACGGTATTTACCGAAATTTCATTAGCTTCTCTCTCTCTCTCTCATATTTTGATAGAATATGTTTATATATTAAATACATTCACATATATTCACATATATGACAACATAGATTTGGCTATGCCGGAGAAGCGTCTCCACGTGGTATTATCCGAACGGAAGTGAGATGTCCGGAATCCAAAAAAATACGGCGAATCATTGATCATACGGATGTCGAGGACTTGTATCAACTTCTTGTAGAATTTCTTCATCTATTGTTTTTTAAGTAAAACGATACGTTTCTACTACGATACGTTTTTATTTTATGTAATCTCTGGAGATTTTCACTCGAGACAATTCTTATGACGCAGATATGTTGTGGTGAGTCCGAAAGATGCAAGGATATTGCTCTTGGAGTCGCCATTGGCGGTGACATCATTTAGAGATACCGTCGCAAAAGTGATGTTCAAACATTTTGAAGTTGGTTCTATATTGTTTCTACCGAGCCATTTAGCAACAATTAGTACTCTTGGTATCGATACAGCTTTGGTATTGGACGTCGGATATCGAGAAGCGACCCTAATCCCTATCTTTGAGGGAATACCAGTTCTCAAAGCTTGGCAGGCATTGCCTCTGGCTGGACAAGTTGTACACGAGTGAGTTACACTTTTCCCTTCTTATAATATTTACACAACATTGCTAATTTCCGTCTTATAATTTTCAGAAACTTGAGGAGATATGTTAACGATATATCAAGCGATATAGATTTATCGGAAAAGGTGCTAGAAGATATCAAGGTAAGAACATGTTTTACAACTACACTGGAAAGATCTACAAAGCTAGGAACAAAGGACGCTCCTACTCCACCTCCCAATGTTATGTATCCTGGTGTTAAAAGAATTTTGATACCCGGAGAAATTAGAGAAAAGGCATTTGAAATACTATGGGAAAGAGATAATGATAATCTCTCGTTGCCAACTATGATACTCGATGCTATCGTTAAGGTAAGGACAAGATCTGTTATAAAGCAATTTTAATATTTCACCATTATGTAATAATCTAAATCTCTTATATAACTTAGAACATATATATATATATTTGTTACATTGGCTAATTTTGATACTAGTGTCCTTTGGATACGAGGCGAGTATTAGTCGAAAATATAATACTCATCGGTGGAACAACAATGACAAAGGGCTTTGCGAGCCGTTTGAAATCGGAATTATTGGCTTTAGTCCAAAGCGATTTGTATAAAAGTAAATTAAAAATACAATCGTTTAAATTTCACACAGCACCTAGTAAACCAAATTATACAGCATGGTTAGGTGGTGCTATCTTTGGCACAACAGATTTACCATTACGATGCTTAACGAAAGAAATATATTTAAAAACGAATCGAGTTCCCGATTGGTCCAGTCTTATAGATAATCAAAAAGACGAAACATCTTACGAAATATGAACGAATACGCCGCTAGATTTATCAATTTATGAAAAAGTAAATAATTTATACTCTTGTGTGTAATTATTTATACGTGCATATATTGTAATTGTATCATTCTGTAATGCTATTTTTTTATATTTCATTGATCGAATCATCATTTCGCACTGTTTATCAAACACTATTATAAATCCCAACACGTGATCGATGATATATTAACAGGAATCTGAATATATAGGAAATGGATCATTCGTATTAGCTTTCTGTTGCATTACACGTTTATACGATATAAAAAATTAAACACTTTTAATCACAGAGTTGTAAGTAGTGTAAGCTTTTCATTAAGTTGCAATTGCGTTTTTATCAATTGCGATAATGCGACAACCATCAGAAGATCCTTAACATTACTATTAAACATTTCGTCAAATTGATCGCTAGTCATTTTCGGTACGGAATGTACCATATCCAAAAGGGCTCTGCCGACCTGAAACAAAAGAATCATTGCGTATGAATCATTGACTAAATAATAAGCATTAAAAAGAAAATTTATACTTACTTGATTATCCGGTAATTGTTTCCCTGCTAGAACATCGTCAACATATGCAAGTACTTGTTCTAGCATTAAAGAAAGTTTGGAGCAAGCCTCCGAGACTTGTGCAAGATCCATCATGGGTTCTATCCCTCCGGTAGATTTTGCCCCGGATGTTTGTATATGCGTGTGCAATTGAGTCTTGGAGCATAACTGCAGTCCTACAACCTCCGGCTCGTAGCATCTAATCTGTATAGAAGGATTTAACAATGTTAAAGACAGTCTTATATATAAAACGAAATTTTAATACAATTAAAATTTCTTTTTAGTTTTTGCGTTCCACGATACAAGTCGCCAGCAAATATATCTAGTTACAATTCCTCCGAACCTGAACTTTAACCGGTGTGAACATGGAACCTTGCTTGCCATTAGGCACTCCTAATGGAACGCATACGTAAGCTTTGATCGCCATTCTCGTTGTATTTGCCAATGTAGTATCAACAGTCAAATGCACCGGATTGTTACATTCTCGCACATAATATTCATGGATAACGGATGAATGTGTGGTGACCTGAAAAACATTTTTCATATTTTTCTGTTCGGTTATATAATACCCGAAAAAATATATAAGTATAAAGTACTCGGTAAAAGAAAAAGAAGGGGTTAAAACTCAACCTCATTGCCAGTGGCCCACCAACCGACAATATTCTCTTGCGCATTAACTCGGTGATTTAAATCGTACAAGTCCATTCCATAGGTAAGGTCGGCTTCTACCTGGCTCTCGGATTCTTTGTGCGGTACGCAAAAGCAGTTGGTTACTTCGACTATCCCTTTTTCCACGGTACCTGAAATAACGAAAAACACGTGTTTATACGCGGCTGTCAAAACGTTACATTCCGCCAACGCGAAAGATCCCTCGCACTCTTGTTCAACGTGCGTATAAACATTACCCAATAAAGTCCCAATAACGCGCAACGATTCCGCTTTTCGTCGTTCGTAAGCATCCACAATCTGAAATAAAACCACGGGATGCACTTTGACAGTGAGATTGAGCGCCATGTTTACGACACTTTGCACTTTGCACAGCTCTATACGAGTATACCATAAAGAACGCCGAGATCAACTCAGTGATGCGCTGCCGTGGGATTTTTTCCCATGTGGGAATCTCCGTGCGCATGCGTAAGTGACGTCACAGCTATACGTCACGCGTTACCACAGATGTATCTAGCTGCAACGTTAAGCCCGTTCTACATTGATCGCATATCGCCAGTCGCAAGCAAATCGACCAATCACAGTCGAATATTCGACGGAATAATCGACTGTGATTGGTCGATTTGCTTGCGACTGGCGATATGCGATCAATGTAGAACGGGCTTAACGTTGCAGCTAGATACATCTGTGGTAACGCGTGACGTATAGCTGTGACGTCACTTACGCATGCGCACGGAGATTCCCACATGGGAAAAAATCCCACGGCAGCGCATCACTGAGTTGATCTCGGCGTTCTTTATGGTATACTCGTATAGAGCTGTGCAAAGTGCAAAGTGTCGTAAACATGGCGCTCAATCTCACTGTCAAAGTGCATCCCGTGGTTTTATTTCAGATTGTGGATGCTTACGAACGACGAAAAGCGGAATCGTTGCGCGTTATTGGGACTTTATTGGGTAATGTTTATACGCACGTTGAACAAGAGTGCGAGGGATCTTTCGCGTTGGCGGAATGTAACGTTTTGACAGCCGCGTATAAACACGTGTTTTTCGTTATTTCAGGTACCGTGGAAAAAGGGATAGTCGAAGTAACCAACTGCTTTTGCGTACCGCACAAAGAATCCGAGAGCCAGGTAGAAGCCGACCTTACCTATGGAATGGACTTGTACGATTTAAATCACCGAGTTAATGCGCAAGAGAATATTGTCGGTTGGTGGGCCACTGGCAATGAGGTTGAGTTTTAACCCCTTCTTTTTCTTTTACCGAGTACTTTATACTTATATATTTTTTCGGGTATTATATAACCGAACAGAAAAATATGAAAAATGTTTTTCAGGTCACCACACATTCATCCGTTATCCATGAATATTATGTGCGAGAATGTAACAATCCGGTGCATTTGACTGTTGATACTACATTGGCAAATACAACGAGAATGGCGATCAAAGCTTACGTATGCGTTCCATTAGGAGTGCCTAATGGCAAGCAAGGTTCCATGTTCACACCGGTTAAAGTTCAGGTTCGGAGGAATTGTAACTAGATATATTTGCTGGCGACTTGTATCGTGGAACGCAAAAACTAAAAAGAAATTTTAATTGTATTAAAATTTCGTTTTATATATAAGACTGTCTTTAACATTGTTAAATCCTTCTATACAGATTAGATGCTACGAGCCGGAGGTTGTAGGACTGCAGTTATGCTCCAAGACTCAATTGCACACGCATATACAAACATCCGGGGCAAAATCTACCGGAGGGATAGAACCCATGATGGATCTTGCACAAGTCTCGGAGGCTTGCTCCAAACTTTCTTTAATGCTAGAACAAGTACTTGCATATGTTGACGATGTTCTAGCAGGGAAACAATTACCGGATAATCAAGTAAGTATAAATTTTCTTTTTAATGCTTATTATTTAGTCAATGATTCATACGCAATGATTCTTTTGTTTCAGGTCGGCAGAGCCCTTTTGGATATGGTACATTCCGTACCGAAAATGACTAGCGATCAATTTGACGAAATGTTTAATAGTAATGTTAAGGATCTTCTGATGGTTGTCGCATTATCGCAATTGATAAAAACGCAATTGCAACTTAATGAAAAGCTTACACTACTTACAACTCTGTGATTAAAAGTGTTTAATTTTTTATATCGTATAAACGTGTAATGCAACAGAAAGCTAATACGAATGATCCATTTCCTATATATTCAGATTCCTGTTAATATATCATCGATCACGTGTTGGGATTTATAATAGTGTTTGATAAACAGTGCGAAATGATGATTCGATCAATGAAATATAAAAAAATAGCATTACAGAATGATACAATTACAATATATGCACGTATAAATAATTACACACAAGAGTATAAATTATTTACTTTTTCATAAATTGATAAATCTAGCGGCGTATTCGTTCATATTTCGTAAGATGTTTCGTCTTTTTGATTATCTATAAGACTGGACCAATCGGGAACTCGATTCGTTTTTAAATATATTTCTTTCGTTAAGCATCGTAATGGTAAATCTGTTGTGCCAAAGATAGCACCACCTAACCATGCTGTATAATTTGGTTTACTAGGTGCTGTGTGAAATTTAAACGATTGTATTTTTAATTTACTTTTATACAAATCGCTTTGGACTAAAGCCAATAATTCCGATTTCAAACGGCTCGCAAAGCCCTTTGTCATTGTTGTTCCACCGATGAGTATTATATTTTCGACTAATACTCGCCTCGTATCCAAAGGACACTAGTATCAAAATTAGCCAATGTAACAAATATATATATATGTTCTAAGTTATATAAGAGATTTAGATTATTACATAATGGTGAAATATTAAAATTGCTTTATAACAGATCTTGTCCTTACCTTAACGATAGCATCGAGTATCATAGTTGGCAACGAGAGATTATCATTATCTCTTTCCCATAGTATTTCAAATGCCTTTTCTCTAATTTCTCCGGGTATCAAAATTCTTTTAACACCAGGATACATAACATTGGGAGGTGGAGTAGGAGCGTCCTTTGTTCCTAGCTTTGTAGATCTTTCCAGTGTAGTTGTAAAACATGTTCTTACCTTGATATCTTCTAGCACCTTTTCCGATAAATCTATATCGCTTGATATATCGTTAACATATCTCCTCAAGTTTCTGAAAATTATAAGACGGAAATTAGCAATGTTGTGTAAATATTATAAGAAGGGAAAAGTGTAACTCACTCGTGTACAACTTGTCCAGCCAGAGGCAATGCCTGCCAAGCTTTGAGAACTGGTATTCCCTCAAAGATAGGGATTAGGGTCGCTTCTCGATATCCGACGTCCAATACCAAAGCTGTATCGATACCAAGAGTACTAATTGTTGCTAAATGGCTCGGTAGAAACAATATAGAACCAACTTCAAAATGTTTGAACATCACTTTTGCGACGGTATCTCTAAATGATGTCACCGCCAATGGCGACTCCAAGAGCAATATCCTTGCATCTTTCGGACTCACCACAACATATCTGCGTCATAAGAATTGTCTCGAGTGAAAATCTCCAGAGATTACATAAAATAAAAACGTATCGTAGTAGAAACGTATCGTTTTACTTAAAAAACAATAGATGAAGAAATTCTACAAGAAGTTGATACAAGTCCTCGACATCCGTATGATCAATGATTCGCCGTATTTTTTTGGATTCCGGACATCTCACTTCCGTTCGGATAATACCACGTGGAGACGCTTCTCCGGCATAGCCAAATCTATGTTGTCATATATGTGAATATATGTGAATGTATTTAATATATAAACATATTCTATCAAAATATGAGAGAGAGAGAGAGAAGCTAATGAAATTTCGGTAAATACCGTTTCTTCTTCTCGCGATACTCACTTCGTGTACGCACTGCCGATATCAAAAACTATCATCTGCTTATCCGAAACATATCTCACACCCTCGTATCCGCGAAGCATTTTCTTCAACTCGTTCGTTACACACTCTTTTCCTCTTTTTCGTTGTAATCAGACAATATATATGTCAGAGTTGTTTGTCGTTTGACAGCTAGAATAGACCAAAGACCAAAGAGATTTCCTTGTCAATCGAACGCTTCGAAACTTTCGTAGCGTCAAACGAAACGCATCAAAAAATCCGAAGGAACATATGGTACGTGTGTTCTTAAAGCGTTTCAAGTTTGACCAATGTCCGAAAATCCAGTTTGATCAATATTACATAATAGCCAAGATCGTGATGAAACGAAGAGTCGCGTTACTATGAAATGAAATCCTCCATTCGATCTATGGACTTTGCATTCTCCGAAGCCAAAGCGATGAGCGACGAGCGAGGAGCAACGAATGTAAATATGGCCGCTTGACAAAACATTCGGAGCAGCAGCGATTAAACGACACCGTATCGCTTTCGCTCGCGGACATGTTGCACGGTGGCCGCGGCCGCGGAACGACGGAGGACGGAACGACGTCATCCTGACCGCTCGAGTTTCTTGCGTGTAAAGTAACGTGACGCGTGACGCGTGACGCAACGATCAACGATCAACGATCAACGATCGACGATCGACGATCGACGATCGACGATCGACGATCGACGATCGACGATCGACGATCGACGATCGACGATCGACGATCGACGATCGACGATCGACGATCGACGATCGACGATCGACGATCGACGATCGACGATCGACGATCGACGATCGACGATCGACGATCGACGATCGACGATCGACGATCGACGATCGACGATCGACGATCGACGATCGACGATCGACGATCGACGACCAACGACCAACAGCCAACAGCCAACGGCCAACGACGAGTCGACGGAGCCGACTCGGAGAGAGAGAGAGCCCGCGATCGCGAAACTCGATTCTCGATTCGCCAGATCGCTCGTGAAAAATCATATTAAATCAAATCGCGAAGGGGCGGATCGCTTCGCGACGTGTTCGCATTGTTTGCAGTTCGCAGTTCGCAATCCGCAATCGCAAGGCGAGTTCGGTGCGATCGCACAGAGGGGATCCGCGAGCTGGGAGCTGAGACTCGCGAGTCGCGAGTCGCGAAGGAGAGAGAGGGAAATTGATCGCGCGAGATCATGACAATTCTATCGAAGAAGAAGACGAACGCGCCGAAAGACAGGTCGCGCGAGGCAGGCGCTGGTCCCGAGGTCGACGTTCATCACGGCGTAGTGCAGAACGAGCACAATTCCGGCAACATCGCCCTACCGAACAGTCCTTATCAGGTGAGGCGCATCGTGATTTCCGGAGACGTGCTCTCTCTCGCGCTCTCTCTCCCCCCCCC